GTACATTTCTATTAGAGTGAATTCAGAATCAAAACACTTTATATTAGTCAAGTGCACCGCCTGTGTCAACGCAGCCGCAATTTCTTTTCTAAAAGTCGGTTTCAACCCGTTTATATCCAACGTTATAAAATTTATATTTGAGAAAGTACAAAAACCGAAATTCGAAGAAATAAAATTTATAGTAAATTATTAAGAATTGTCATTTGCATTTAAAAAATACAGAGTGCATAAGAGAATGAAATATATCATTTACATGGCGCTGATTTATGTAGTTCTTCGATAATCGACCATAAATCTCTTAAAAAGTGTTGGTTTGATTTATGTACGAAGTTTCATTTATATATGACATCGGGTTCCTACAAAACAACGCTTGTCAACAGAATTTTGGGACAACCCTCGTAATTAATTTTGAGTAAAGTTTTGAATCCGACGACGAATGCATTGTGAGGTTAGACTTTTAAAGCTTTTTTAATAGTTAGCCAACACAAGTTACATGTATGGAGAAAAATATGCTGCTTAAATGTAGTAGAACTTGTAAAAGCACAGTTACTGCATAAAAAATTAAATGCTAAGTGATGTTGCACAAACAATTGCCACTAAACTACATAATAAGCTACATTTAATCATATTTCAATAAATGAAAAAAAGTATATGAAATATACCAAAATAACTAATATTCCCTAAAATATTGAAGGAAATTATAAAAGCCAATATCTCCTATATAATTAATTTGATTATCTAAATTTGAAAGTGCTATATATACCTAATGCGTGAGATCCTTATCTAGTATATAGTACGCTTTAAAGGATTGTCAAAATTAACTTTTGTATTCTTGATGTCAAGTAAAAATATTATGACCTTGACCTGGCCTTCCACAAAAAGTGATAAGTTCACGTTTAATCTCATTTATACAATCACTAAGTGATATTGTTTAATCATTGATGATATCTGACATGATCTCAACTTCTTTTCGCATAATCCAGTCGGTAACGTTACATGCTCTTAAACGTTCTGTTCATGGACGCCAGAATATTCTCCTTGTATTATAATTTTTACCAGTTTTTCAAGTTAATTTCTAAACAAGAACATTCTGTTATAGTCAAAAATGACAATGTCTTGGAAATAGGATGGTTGGATAATGAAATTTTTTTTTCCAGAATGAACATGGTGAAAATCACAATCCAACTTCTCTTTCTAAGCAACGCCATTTTTCAATATAAATATTGTTGTGGAGGCCTTATTTTTTATCATATTTAATATGTTAAAGGTCTAAATTAAAAAGAAATTCAGGGAATAAATAATAATACTATTGAAAAGATATTCATCCACTTTTCAAGCTTCTACCTCGCAATCTTTAAATACAAATTGACGAACAAAGGAAACATCTCTTCCAAAGCTTGCTTATGCCGGACTGCATAACAACCTCAATTTGAACTGTCTACCTCCTACCAGTTAAACAATCAATCAAATTTATGGTTTAACGTCTTGATATATTGTATGCATAAGCTTTGTTCAAATTATTATACGATAACTCAAAAGTAATTTCCAAGTTATACGTTAGACTTTACAGCCGTTCGTTCCTCGAGTAAGACTTTGAAAACCATTTTCCGTCACGGGTCACATACATATTGACGACATTTGCACACTGTGATGTCAAAATTATTGAAACAATAATTACTTTTCATATGCTTTTTATACAACATTTGCATGAGTACAGGTGTGCCAAATTTCATTCTGATCTGAATCGTGGTTTGGTAAATATACATATAGTTCACGAAATCTTTGATAAACGCTTATACGAGGGCTGTCCCCTAAATCGTGGACAAGTTGTCCAGTGTGAAAAATAATCACTACTGCGTTCTGAAAATTACATTACTCTTTAGTGTTTATATCATGAATATACACAGCAATTGCAAAGAACAAGGTTCACTTTTACCTCATTTGACCCTGTGAATTTCTGAAAAACTGAAACTGCATAGTTTTAATTAACAATGCGTTAAAATATTACTTAGATCTATTGTGACTCCGATCCCATAAAAAATGACGTCATTTTCTGGCTAGTCAATGCATTGTGACGTCATGAAATGCGTCAATTTTCTCATATTCAGAAAAAAATTACAAAAACGGCCAATTTTTAAAGATATTTTTTGATATATGATATAGAGCGCAACGGCTGATCTAAAATATGCAACTACTTAATGATAGATCTTTTTCCAAGGATTAAAAGACATGTTTTACTTTTTAGATCAGAGTGTGTGCTCATATTATTTCTCTTCACTGAAAGCACTCAATTATACCTGTTTTCCTAAGAATTCAAGAACATTACAATTTCATAAAGCCAGTTCTCCTAGACCTGGACTTTATGGAGAATTTTTTTAATAGGATATCAAAGCACCAAGTCTCCATTTTTTTTAATGCTTCAAATAGAAAATCAAGTGTTGATTGTTTAATTGGTATATCTACAGGGCCATTTTATGAAGATAAAGGCATAAATAAACACACCGTGCCTGGATGATAACGTCAAAGCGTCTAAAGCAGCGTCAAGTTTCATCAATGCTTAAAATTAAAGTTGGATAGGTTCCACTTTAATTTAGAAATTCTATTGCTTCACATACTAGAGTTTCCATTAACATATGATGAACCAATCTAGCACAGGCATATGATCTTCAGAACATTAATTAGTGAGTTACGGACAGTATTCTCACCATCATTCAACTAATAGAGCATCTTATACCGACGGTCAACATTGACAGTTGCTATTACAATAGCAGTTTGTCTGTATTTTTGTACTACCAGGGGAATCGATCAAAAAGATTTTGCTAAGAAAACTCATTTCATTTGTATACTAAAGGTCTGGTGATATTTTAAATATTTTTTTTTCTTCTGTAATTATTTAAACTATTTTAAAATGTCATTTCAACATCTAAATGAAACTGAATTGCTCTCCGGCGCGTCGTAACGTCATCAAACGTCGCCATTTTTCGTTCATTGTGTTAAACAATTTCCCTTTTCGAATGCTTTGGAAACTCCCAAAAGTTAACTAAATGCCTTGATTTTTTTTAAAGACGACAAAATTGATTGTAAAATCAAATGAGAATAATTTCAACTCAATCTTATGTATTTAAAATTTGTATATCGAAACAATACTTGTGTATTCTATTATATAACCTTTTTTTCACCATGCGCCTTAGGACCGCACCATATGCAAATTCAAGCAAAATATAATCTTTATTTCTGGCCATTAATTATCAAAACAATTATGATGCACATACATATGATAAATAAACAATTTATATGTTCTTCATTGACATTAAATAAAATTGACTTGGAAATCCCCTCTATTCAAAATCAAATGGTGGTCCACTTTTCTGTTTTGAATCAACTGGGGGGCGGGGGGGGGGGGGTTCTACTTCTAAATTAACGTCTTATAGAAAAAAAATATTTAGAAATCTTATTGCATACTTACACGTATTATTTACCACAAAGCATAATGTTACTTGATTAGGCTTCTAGATTAAACTGTAGGTTAGGGGAGATTAAGTAAAAATGTATTTGCAGTAAACATATTTTTACCCCCATTAGGCCAGCTTTGATTAAAAAAAACCGGTTATACATCTTCAATATACAAAATATATATTTCAAGAGATGAAAAGCATGAATGAAATTTTTGTATCTCCAGCTTTCACTTTCACTGAAAGTGGAAAGGGGTTGACAAGGACATGTGTGTTCTTCCTTCAGTCATTCAATCTGCCTGTCTGTCAATACCACTTTTGCTTCCGCGAGATATCTCAATAATCCTTTGCAATGAAATTCTATACCCCCATTTTTAATGGTCTAATAACTATCAGTCATATCCAATTCGATAGGTGAATGTTCAAGGTAGTGAATTCATACATTCTGTCTGTGTGTAAAACTTATTTTTAAGGAAGCTTTTGACCTTTTTTTTGCAAAGAAAGTTTTATTATAATTCGACACCAGGCCCCGTCAGCCCTCATTCAAGCCCTATCCAATTGACAGCCTCCTTCTGATGTTCCGTGCGTGCTCTTAGTTTTTTCCTTGAGTTGAAGATACGGGCTCGCGAAATTGCCTTGTTTAGGGTTGAATTTAAAAACTTAATTTATAATTTAAACCTAGCTAGTACCCACACCAGGTGATAAAGTGATTAAAGTAGCTGGTGACAAAGAGGCAATTAAACACGGGAATAGAGTTATGAAAAAACAAATTTGTTAAATTAACTTTTAGAAATGAATATAATTTAAGATATTGTCAAATGCATAACTAATACATGTATATGATGCAGTTCAAATTCTTAATAATGTGTTAAACATACGGGTTATCATTATAAATACTGATATAAAAAAAATGCAGCTTATATTTTCTGTATAGAAAGAATTTATTCAGATGTTAACAATATTTCCAAATAATCAAATGACTCAACTGTAAATTTTATTACTAAACGCAACTGTATCCCGAATGTAAAAATAATTATAGTTTACCAGTACTTCTTAAAAGAAACAAATAGAATATAGTATGAGAAACATTCCACAAAACCTGGAATATTTTCAGTAATATAAATTCAAACTTTCTGGAAAAAAAATCTTTTCACCTTTTTCAGTTGATAGGTATGTTAATGCTAGTTTGACTGTCCCTTGTATAGACTTTAAAAAAATAAATAAATTCAAAAATACGGAAACTTTTTTTTTTAATTTTGTATTGCATCATTGCACATAAGAAAAGTTTCTTGCTTGATATAGAAAAGAAAGCATAAACCTAGCATAACACAATAATTGATCAATCCGGAAGTATTTTCATTTATTGCCGTTTCAAAAAATCAACCATTTTTTTCCTGCTGCATGAATAGATTAACAATTATTATCATAGTAAAAAAAAATCTCCACAGTCATGCAATGTATATATACTCCTCATACTGTTTCCTTCTTTTCCTATTTGACAAAATTTTCCCAAACTTTAGATATTGAAATAAGATCCTTGACACGATGATTAGACTCATTATGTCGGCACATCTTATAGTGTTTTGGAATATTTTACATGGAACTAAAGGCTGGGGTAATATTTCTTTTTCATTTTATATATGCACGTTTTCAGTATAAATTTTTATTTCTGATAAAGTTTGTTTCAAGTTTCTTTTCATTCATTTATCATACAATGTGAATAATTTAATATTCCAGAACTCTACGCATGTGAAGTTCCATAATTACAAACCCTTGACATTGTGAGGATGCTTTTTATTTTAAATTAGTATTTATCTATTTGTTTTATCTACTGCAGATAATCTCAGTTTACTACCACAATATAAAGGACAACCGTCTATGAAACCCTATTACAGAGGTTATAACGCACCGCCAGGGGGACCTGTAGATGGATATCTTGAAGAGGAGCGTGGTCAAAGTACATGTAGCATTACATGGACTAATCCTTCTATTAAGGAAGCTTGGTGGAAATTTCCGTTGAAATCCATAGCTAATGTAGCATATCTAGAAATTTATTTTCGAAGTTCTAGTAAGTCTAGACTTAATACCCTTAAACATTCTTCTTAAAAAATATACATCAACGAGGACGAGAGAGAGAGAGAGAGAGAGAGAGAGAGAGAGGTAAGAAATTTTGTAAAACAATGGTACTTGGCCAAGAAAAGACATGTAGGTTAGAACGAGTTTGAAAGGCTATGAGAGTGAAAATGTTTAAATTTGTGAATTGGTATCAATTCATTGTCGGCGTTTTATATATGAAATACAAGGTTTGTCCAAAAAAGTCCTAGAGAGGGAAAACAGTAAAGTTAATTGCTTTTTGCTCAGTCAAAATTTCTTTTCTTGTCATAGTAAATACAACATTTTATGATCCTGTTTCTCAAGTTTTAAGCTAATATCACATTTCATAAGAAAATAATGAAAAAAATTAAGAAAGCATGCATGTGTAAAACGGCACACGAAAGCAAGCGGAATTTACGTTTCTTATAAGTTCATGATATCTTTTTCTGCTTCACACGCGTCTGTTAACATTCAATAATTATTGAAAAGTGAAAAATCACTTTTGACTAAGGGACTCATCTAAATTCACTACTGTCCGTTTTTAGCAGATTCAAATTTTAGTCTAAATTTAGTTGAACGAACACCATACAATGAGTGCACCAGAAAAAACACATTGTTTGACGTTGTTTGTGGCTAAGAACTTTCCCACTCTCAGTCATTTAAAGAAGAGTAGTTTACTTTTAACATGCGTTAATTAATTTCAGTGTAGAGGAAAAAATATTGAATCTCATACCATTTAAAAATAACTTTTATATTAGAATCTAGTGTGTAATGTCATTTCTGTACTCTTCTTTTCCGTCTCTGATGTGTATTTACCATATACATAACAATTCATTACATCTCCGTAGGCGGGTAAGGGTTTGACGACGTCATTTTCATTAACCTCGATTCCGGTAACAATTTGAGAATCCTGACACCGATCGCCTGTATGTAAAACAATTTAACTGAAAATTTTACATGTTATTAAGATTTTGATTCTGGTTTCATTGATAGAAATTTAAGTTAAATGTTTTGCACAGTGCTGAAAAAATAAAAACACATGTAATACTAATATGCGTAAGAAGGAAGGATATGGAAATAACGAACAGTATTCAATCTCAACGTCCATTCCTGAGTTTGTTCGTGTGCCGATAGACTATATCGGCCTTCATATAAATCCTCCCAATGTTAATAATATGCAATATATATATTCAGAACTCACAATTTTAAAGAACGTGGAATAAATTATGTCTGTGCAAAATTTGGTTGGTAATGATTGCATGTTAACAAAGGTATAAACATTGTCTACGACTTTTTGAGTGTATGATCAGTGCCTGTGACGGGAAGAAATCCCATAACAGCGTTTATATCTCGAGTTAAATACTTTGAAAACTTTTTTAGCATTTTGGTTTCTTCACTTCCATGAAGAAAAGTTTTCTTCACGAAACTAACATATTTGTGAACGGAAAATACGAAGCATAACTATGATTAAGAAAACGAAAATTAGTTTCAATTGACTATTCCAGAATTGGCATTGTTTGTGAACAAAAATAATATATCAGATGACCAATAAGTATACAAACAAGTATACAAACAATGTAACGTTTTGGTTCCCCTACGCCTTACTATTTGATCAAAGCCTTTTTTGGTTTGCTAAAAAAAATTTTTTCTATGGAGAAAGCAGTAAAAATTATTATATTCAGTGTAAAGGATCAGCTGCCGTAAAATATTTGATGAATTCATTGCAATGAAATTACAATCATTATATGAATACCACATTCACTTTAGCTCCAAATCGACACGTGGGTTTCTCTGTGTTTATCTTCAATAACTCATCATACATTCCTCCAGTAAATCCATCTCAGCATAAAGTGTTCAGCCACAATATATCTACCTGTATCGAACATGTGACAAATGTACCTATTAATAAAGAGACCCAAGGAATAGCACTATATAATACAAGGGATCCTCTTGTCAACACAACATGTGAAGGTTTTGATCCAAGGTTTGCAACGATTGAAATTTGTGAAGTAAAGGTGATGGGTATGTATTCTTGTACTTTTGAAATATGCAAAAGGAAAAATATATATATCAGACGATTTTGTAGATGGCTGAAACTTATATTTGGTTTGAAGTGAAATAAAAACGAATATTTTTTTTGAAATAATCTTCTTATATGTAAGGTTGTCCTTCACAACATTTCGGAGAGAACTGCACATTATGTGATAAAAAATGTCGCAGCAGAATGTGTGATGCTTTTAATGGTTCCTGTACATACGGCTGCGAAAACAAATTTATGGAATGGCCTGAGTGCTCCGGTAATAAATGTATAATCCCAAGTACTTTTTTTTTCTAAAATCAGAATTTAAGAAAAAAAAAACAATAATTTTGAATAATATTTACTATTTGCACATATAGTTTAATGTTATATATATTTTTTAACCCTTTTAGGATCTATTATAATTTGATTGATAAAAACAACTTGTCTGTGTTTAAAATATGGCATGAAAAGGTCATTGGATGATGTAAATCAAGTTTTTAACTAAACGTATTGACGACTTAAACTTTTCTGTCAACGTCCCTTGCCAATACAGAAATAAACCTTAAGTTTATAAACCTTTATCCCCTGTATCTCAGTTGATTTAGTTGATTCTACGTATGAGTATTTCCGAAATAAGGTAAATTATTAACAAACAATTTGATGGAACAAGTATTTAAGCTGTCTCGTTTAAAGGCATTATTTCGTAACTTCTATGGTCGATACAATGACCTTTTAAGTAAATACAATGTATCACTTAATCAGTTTCTGATTGATTTTTTTCATACTCATTGTTAATCCATTATTTATACACTGATTTGACATTTTTTCCCTTTATTTCCTGATCATGACAAGGAGCACACGGCGGGTGTGACTCGTCGGCAGTTGATGCTCAATCCTCCGTGAAACATCATCCCTCCTCTGATGTTTTGGAGGTCCGTATTTGCTCTGCTCCTATTTTATATTGTTCAATGGACTTATCTTGAATACTGTTTGTTATCTCAATATGTTTCATTTAAGTCTTATGTATATGCACATAAACCGTTTAAACCAAACCAATTAAAATTATATTTTTTAAGGGGAAAATAGTCCATATTTTACATTGTTATTCATCAAACAGTTTCAAAATTGTCATTCTAGTGTGCAAAGAGGGATTATTTGGACAAGACTGTGAATCACATTGTGGTCAATGTATCATCGGTACCTTCTGTGATAGAGTAACAGGAATATGTCCAGATGGATGCCAGGATCCTTGGAATGGTTCTTTGTGTAATGGTAAATAAATTCAGTCAGTTTAAATTTATAATTTAAATGCTTCAATTTTAATTGCATAGATTTGAAAACATAAAATAAATATATAAATAAAAACATAAAAGTTGATTAATCTTTTTTTCCAATTTTTAGTATAAACAAAAAACTAAAGAAACTATGACGCTTGCCTGGAAGTTCAGGCATGAATGATTGTGCAAGCACTGAATATTATAAAGTGAAATTGGCTGTTAACACAAGGTGCACTTTATGTATCTTCAATGTAATAACCATCAAACAAATTGTTGAATGGAATGTACCTCTCATTCATATATAATATTATTGTTCGCCGCTTTTGCGAAAGCGAGAAGATATTAAATCTCATTTGTCTGTCCGTCTGTCAGGCTGTCCGTCTGTCTGTCCGTCACAAAAACATTACCCTTACCCATAACTTTTGATTTAGTGGAGCTATGGCTTTCATTTTTCATAAGTGTATTTCTTCTGACAAGATCTTTCTTTTGACACCACCAAATTTGACCTTTTAACCTTGATCATGGAGTTTGACCCACTTTTACACAAAGTTTCCAAACTTTTACTTTTGCCATAACTTTTGAATGTTAGGTACTAGGCCTTTAATATTTCACATATTTATTCTTTGCAGCAAGGCCTTTTGTGGGATACTCACAACTTTGACCTATTTGCCTCGACCTTAGAGATTTCCGTAGTTATGAAAAAAAACGTTAACCTTCACTACATCTTTTGAATTGAGTGGGCTAGGGCTTTCAAACTTCATATTTATAATTTCTGTGGCAAGACCTTTCATTAAATATCAAGAACTTTGCTACTTGTAACTTGACCTTGGAGTTTAAACTACTTCTCAAAATCTTTTACCATTGCCACAAGTTTTGAACAGTAGAAATCAAGACTTTCATAATTCACATATGTATTTTTTGTGGCAAGACCTTTAATTTATGCGAACAAATTTGACTTTTTGGCCTTGGGGATTTTTGTACTTATAAGAAAACTTTAACATTGACCATAACGTTTGAATGGTAAGGGCTAGGTCTTTCATAATTCACATATGCAATCCTTTTGAGTAGAATTTTCATTGGATTCCAAGAACGTTTACCCTTTGACCTTGGCCTTTGAGTTCAGTGATTATTTCTAAATAAATAACTTATGATAGGGCGTTCATATTACCGGTAGACACATAGTGTTATAAAAAATGAAATTTCACCCACAAAGACAAGGAAAGCGGGGGACCACGATTCTTTGAATTTGCTTGTTAATTTTAACATCGAAATTCCTCATCCAATCGTCTCATAATTTGAAATTTAAATTGCAACTTTGTTAAACCTACACCGCTACCCTGAATTTAAAAGAAAAGTTAAACTCAATTTATTGCTTCAAAAAAAATCATAAGGGTATGCCATTTCGAAAGGTGTTTAAACCCTCTTTGAGTACACATTATATACATTGAATATCAAAACAAATGTCAAACTCAATTTCAGAACTGAAAACGATCGACATATCTTTTTTTAAATTACCGATTCAGTGGAATAACAAATTTATACATTTATTCAATAAAAAGCAGATTAAAGGGACATAGACACGAATTCAGTTAAATATTCAAATAAATATTTCAATTATTAGAAATACTTAATTAAGGTCTTTCTAATGATCATCAAAATTTTTAACTTCAGTTGTCAAAATACAAGACAGATTCAGAGCTTCAAATAATTGTTATCTGTATGTAAAACGTGTCTGTATCATGCTTCGTCTACATAGCTAGATTAAGCTAATATGCTATTGTTCGTTCAAAACATATAATTTTTAGAAAGAAGTTTAATTACAATTATACAGTTTCGGCTGGATTAATGTTGTTGTTATAAATAGAATTTTATATATGTAGGCAAAAACAAGGCACGATCGTTGTTTACATTAAGAAGATGTTTTGGCTCTGTATCTCGTTATTTGATAAATAAATGATGTGCAATTGCTTGCCGATCGTTAGATGATGGTATTTCAAGCATTAAAATTTGTTAGAAAAATACAGTTAAAACTGTGTCCACGTCCGTTTTAGTTACACATGTACATTTACTCGAATTCCACTCAGTCTGATAATAACGAAACAGCACTTACTGCATATTGTACATCTATGATTCCTGTGTAAAATTTCAATTTCAAATAGGTAGGTCAATGACCCACTTTTAATGCTAGTGGCCCTTCAATATTTCTGGGTAAATACCTCACTTTTTCAGACTATGACCAGTTTTTCCTTAACTGGCGAAATCTTACAAGCATCTAAAACTTTTTAATTAATAATATATTCTGGGAAAAGAATGGCATTGCATCATATAAATAAGTGATTAGAGTTTTGGCTATGAACTTATTATCACAATCCGGATTTCCTCTGTCATATTTCGATTAGTTTCTTCATTCTTAATTAAATATTATAAAAATTTGCATAATAACACTTCAATTTAACATTGTAATTTATAATGCAAGAAATAATTTTTGACAAAAAATGAACAACAAAAAAAAAAAAATGGTTCAAATTTCCTCTGAATACCAAATATTGACTTTTCTTCCAAAATGTTCTTTCTTTCAAAATAAGAAATTAAATTATGTTATTGATTTTGAGTTAAAACCAGATTATTTCATCCATTAAGAACATTTTTGGATATAGCGGGGAAAGATATTTTACTGTATAAAATTTCCTATCTGACTTCTAAAACCTGAGTTAACGCCATCATTAAGTGGAAAATGATAATCATTTTTTTCACTTCTTTATCCCATGCCTTCCTTGACAGGATGCTCTAACAGTGCTGTGTTTCTAATTTTTTTTTGTTTTAAAATTAAATATTAGTATGCAAGGAAGGATATTATGGCCAGACATGTAAGGATGCATGCGGAAACTGTAGAAATGGAACATTCTGTAACCCAACAACTGGAATATGTCCGGATGGATGTGAAGAACATTGGGATGGACTAACATGCAAAGGTAAAAAACCTCTTGAAGCAGTATTATGTACTTATTTTGAAATGAAACATAAGTTGTGTCTAGCAAAAAGGAACCTTCGTGAAAAAAAAATCCGAAAATTGATTGTTGGTGGCTACTGAAAGAGCTATTTTTTATGAATATTTTGATACCATTTTTAGGTCACCTAAACTCAGGTGACCTATTGCTATTACTTTTCGTCCGTCGTCGTTCGTCGTGCGTTAACATTTGAACATTTTCAGCTTCTTCTCTGAAACCACTAAACCAATTTCAACCAAATTTGGCATATAGCATCTATGGGTAACAAACATTGTGAATTTCATGCCCCCCCCCCCCTGGGGCCCGGGGGGGGGGGCAAAAAGCAGTAAAATTAGTGCAATCTTTAAAAATATCCTTCTTTACTCCTGGACATCAAGCAGTCAAACTGTTTACATGATTGTAATCAGCATTCAGTCCTCTACCAAAATTGTGAATTTCATGGCCCCGGGGTCATGGGTTCTAGTGCTGGGGCGGGGCTAAATAAGTATATCGTGAAAATGCAATATTTGTTTGAAAATTTTCTTCTCTGCTACTGGGTATATAGTACATAGTTATGATGAGCAAGAGTGCCTCTACCAAAATTGTGAATTTTATGGCCCCATGGTCAGGGGTTCTGGTGTTAGGGTGGGGCTCTATTGATTACATAGTGAAAATACATGGATTCTTTGAAAGTCTTCTTCTCTGCTCCTTGGTATAAAATAAACCTACTTTGTACATAGTTATGATGAGCAAGAGTGCCTCTACCAAAATTTTAAATTTTATGGCCCCAGAGTGAGGGGATCTGGTGTTAGGGTGGGGCTCTATAGATAATGTAGTGAAATCACATGAATTCTTTAAAAATCTTCTTCTCTGCTCCTGGGTATTAAATAAACAAACAAAGTGCATAGTTATAATGAGCAGGAGTGACTCTACCAAAATTGTGAATTGTATGGCCCCAGAGTGAGGGGATCTGGTGTTAGGGTGGGGCTCTGTAGATAATGTAGTGAAATCACATGAATTCTTTGAAAATCTTCTTCTCTGCTCCTGGGTATTAAATAAACAAACAAAGTGCATAGTTATAATGAGCAAGAGTGACTCTACCAAAATTGTGAATTGTATGGCCCCAGGGTCAGGGGTTCTGGTGTTAGGGTGGGGCTATATAGATTATATAGTGAAAATACATGAATTCTTTGAAAATCTTCTTCTCTGCTCTTGGGTATTAAATAAACTAACTAAGAGCTTAGTTTTGATGAGCAAGAGTGCCTCTACCAAAATGTGAATTTTATGGCCCAGGGTCAGGGGTTCTGGTGTAAGGGTGGGGGGGGGGTTATAGATTATATAGTGAAAATACACCAATTCTTTGAAAATCTTCTTTTCTGCTCCTGGGTATTAAATAAACTAACTAAATGAATAGTTATGATAAACAAGAGTGCCTCTACCAAAATCTCAAATTTTATGGCCCCAGGATCAGGGGTTTTGGTGTAAGGGGGGGGGGGCTCTATAGATTTAAATCTTTCAAAATTGTGAATGCCATAGCATCTGGATTAAAACATGAATCAAATTCAATCGCTGGAAAGTTGTTACATAATGCTCAGGTGACCTATAAGGCCCATGGGCCTCTTGTTTATTATATAATCTTTAAACTCAGGTGATGGAGGGACCAGTAAGGGAAGTCAATTTCATCAGGTTTATCATAGAGTTAGATTACCATTAACGTCATTGTTTCAAGTAAAAATATCCAAGTATAAAACAGATATGTCAGACTCTGCTTCATATGAAGTTCTCCAAATATTTCATGTATCCTTGTGATTCTTAAAATCATTTGTTACAGAATGCAAAAATGGAAATTATGGACAAAACTGTGATTTTAACTGTGGCAGGTGTACCAATGGAACCTTTTGTGATAACATAACAGGGATATGTACAGAAGGATGTGAAGATCATTGGAATGGTACTCTGTGTAATGGTATGTGGTAATTTCACCTAATACTTAATATTGTTTTTTTATTGTTACCTAGATTTCTGATTGTTAAGCTGATGAAAAAAAATTGGACTTTGTTAAAAGAATGAGAACAATATCAATTTTATAACGAAAGACGGGTTGTACCTGATGAAGAAAATTGATTTACTGTAATTCTCATAAAGTTTCTAATTGTGAAAGTGAATTAAAACATACATCTGTAAAGCCCTATTAGTTACATTGTGAAGGATAGCAATACGTCAAAAAGAAATTTAAATATTTTTTTTTTTCAAGAGGGAGGTTCAATTCTATCTCTATTTAAAGCTTTCTTAACACATTTTTTTTGGGGGGGTATAACTATACAATTTCTGTAATGTTATGACGCATTTTTTAGGAAGTTCAAAAGTAATGAATTAAAATTCGTTGCTTAGATTGCCAATTTTATTTTTTAAATTTTTTCGTTGTAACATATTTTGCCAAAGTTTATTCCTCGGTAATGTGCCCCTGTAAAAAAAACTTTTAAATTTAAAACGTCAGAAAAAATTTCACTTAAATAAGAGGGTTGTCCAAAGAGTTTGTGGACAATTGCCTTATTTTCAAAATGAGGTCTGCAAAGACAAACGTGTGCGATAATATCTTGACCATGATTTAACAAATATACCAAAATAATACAACGTAATGCACTCTATGTCATGAACATTATAGGTATAAATTCTTTGTATATGCAACCCACACGAACCAGTCTGAGGAAACACTAATATCAAGACAATGTCAAAAATATGGAGTTTTATTTTTTATCACATTTTCAAGGACAGAGACATTTTTTTTTATCATGCCACAATGCCAAGTGTGTATAATAATATTTACTTTTGACCACAAAAGATTTAATTTTTAAAATTAAAAAGCAATATGAATTCGAAGGATAATTTATGAACGTTATCAATATAATCACTCGTACACACAGCTCAGTTTATGTATGGGGATATCCTATTTTCATTTCCAAAATTTTACACACCCTTGAAAAATTGTATACACTAATTAAGAATCAATGGTCTTAATATATACCAATAATTCCAAGTTATTTTAGACAAGGGGCACAGGGGGGTTTGGATAGTCAGCAGGGGATTCCCTATCCTTCATGGCACCTGATCTCACCTCTGATGCTTTGAAGGTCTGTGTTCGCTCTGCTCCTGTTTTGTATTGCTTTATGGACTTTTGATCCTGTATACTGTTAGTTATCTCCATATGTTTCATTTAATAAATATTCTTTGTCTGACATCGTTTCAACCATAATAAATCATAACTGTGTGAATGGACACTGTTCCTTTCGGATGACCGATGTCGCCTTTTTTCTGTCAATCTTTGAAACATACTTCTTGCGGTTTTCGCTTTATGTTCATTGTATATTTAGTAAAGGTATGACGAAAAGACGATAACTGCTTTATTTATGATATATTTAATTGTTTTAAGCACTATCGGTGACCGTTAATGATCGCAATATTTACAAAATATCAAGTTCAATCAGTAAAAATCAAACTATTCTGAATTGAATCTTTGACAAAATATGTTTACATTGTATACGTGTCAGACAATTTGTTTATTATGACTGGAACGACTTTCACGTTACATAAAATATCTTTTTTTACAGTTTGTTTGGATGGTTTCTATGGTCACCATTGTAAAAATAAATGTGGACTATGTCTGACAAGAATGCTGTGCAATAAACTAACAGGGGTCTGTCCCACGGGGTGTAAAGACAATTGGACTGGCCCAAGATGTGATGGTAAAGCTTATGAATAACATCTAGAATAGAAATATAGACGATCACATTGTAAATGCAGAAATTAATTTGCTTATTTTTGTATATTACATTACTGTTTTTCTATCAATTAGTACTTTACTAGTTATACTTCATGAATCATTCATTAAAGATAATTTAAATCAAGGATTTTTACCAAGGTTGACCAGCAGGAAAGAAGATCTCTATTTTACTTTTATCATATTTACGTACTTATCGTTTGAATAAGTTTCAACCTCATTTTATCAATAATTTATAAGACTTTTGTCGATATTTTACTTTAATTTGTTTAATTGATTTTTGTTTGCTTTCCTGTACTTTTTTTCCAATTATGCTGTGTAATTATTATAGTATTTTATTTTGGCTTTCAGAATGTGAAGATTATAAATATGGACCAAACTGTGTTTTTAACTGTGGTCACTGTAAAGACGGCAAACCGTGCTCGAAGTTGAACGGACATTGTGAAGCGGGATGTGTTTCCGGGTGGGGTGGATTGTTTTGTTCGAAAGGTTCTTCATCTTAAATTTTACTTTTGCAAGATAAAATAGTCTAGTCGAGGATTGAGTATATAGATTGTTTTTCTACCAACAACTATGATGATGTTAAAGTAAAAAAAAAATACTTTCGTCAGGGAAAAAGTTAACAAAAGGACATTTATGTCTTTACTAATTTCAGAATCATCCTGTACAGAAAATTTAAATGCAGGTGGGTTCAAATTTAAAAAAGTCGTTAAATTCACCTTACTGTATCAGCTATAGTTGTATATTTTGCTTGCTTATTGATGCTATCTCTGCGCGTGAAGAAAGTATAATCAAGTGCTTCAGACCCTCGCTTTTGTATGTAATCTTCTTTAAACAAAGATTTATACGATGAAATATAAGACATATTCAAGATAAAAAAACTCATTTATATTTTGTTACAGATTCTGGAATTTCTAAGGCTTCAACTGCAATTATATCCATTGTCTCAACATTTGTTGTTGTAACTCTTTTATACGCAGTGGTGGCTAGAATCGTATACGATAAAATGAAGCATATGATTCCATTGACAGGAAAAAACCCAAAAGACATCATATCTGGAAAACTTGACGATCATTTAGTTGATACAAACATCGATCCTACTTATCAAAAGATAACTAAACAATCAGAAAATTCCTTCTACCAGGAACTGCGCATCTACAAAAATGATGATTTTGTTCAAAACAAATAGATGACTGATGTCATCATGCTTTTATTTTAAGCTCTTTCATTATTTAAACTACAGGTATTTGGAAAATGCAATGTGATCTAATTTATTTTTAGTCAGTAATGTAAACAAAATGTAACCTATGTAAATCTGCATCTATTATCTGCATCTTTTATTCTGAAAATAAAAGTTAAAGGGAAGGATAGATGTTATTACTAACCATATAAATTTATTCTGTTGTTTTTATTTGGGAAAAAAAACTAACCATATAAATTTATTCTATTGCTTTTATTGTTGAAAAAAAAATATATACGCATACATGTACAACTAATGTTCTTTACTTTAATCATTGATTTTGTGTATCTTGAAAAAGGTTCTTACGATTTAAATGTAAATATAACAAATGCGCCAATTAATATTTTTAACAATATTAATTCTATATGTAACATTGAGTTTTATACAGTGTAAGAACATGTTGAACATATGCATATGATGATCTGTGTCGTCATTTTATATTGAGTATTTATTTAACGAAGCATTTCTTAAGAGCTCAAATATAAACTTATTGAATGCATTCAATAAAATATTTATGAAATATAAACATAAGAAAGATGGAACACCTCTGAATGAGCTTATTCCGAATACAACCTCAACACAAACGGTACACTATCTCTGTAGGATTTGAAGAAACCCTTACACAATCTAAAGGAGACTGTATACGTTTCTACATGCTTTGTGAATGATTCTTATATGAATTAGCCTCAGTGAGCATTTTCTATTCAGATTGTCCTTGAAAAATATTCAGATTATTACGATATCGTTAATGAATGCGCATACGATGAATAAAATGCATTTGAATTTGAAAAAAAAACCGCACAGAATAAATTCAGTTGACTGAATTCTGAATGAATGACCACTAAATAGTCAATAAAAGGATAGTTAAAAGGTCTCTACTTTGCCTTTTTTGTAAAATTTCAGGTACCATTTCTTCGACTGATCATGAGTGGCAGAAACATTTCTGTAGCTTTTCAATTATCTTTTAGTTGTATCTTTTTATTGGATAATGCGTTTATTTTTTTTAAAGAAATTTTATTTCAAATTGTCCTATTATAATAGCATTAATTAAATCTATTTTCGAATGATGTAGCGATTGATTGATCAATGAATTTGTAGAAATCTGACTGGGACACCAGTCAACATGTTGCAACGAGGAGCTGTGCAGTGTGTCTACATCTTGTATACATTTTGTATATTCTTTGTTCGTTGCGTTTTTGGAGCAAACTGGTGAATTAAACATCTCTTATCGGGATGATGACAACTATCAAAGATAAGAATTTGTTCTTTTTTTAAAGAAATCTTCCCCGGATGACGTTGTAAATTTTCTGTCTAAAATAATATGATAAAACAATTTCTAAAATAAGGCAAAATGGAATACAAATTTATAAAATTAAGAAACAGAATGTGCACATTATTTTTCTTCCATAAAGCTAAAATATATGATTTTGACAATTAAAGATCAAAATCTTCCATATTGAGTTTTTTCCATGAATGCATAAATAAAATAATTTTGTCTCCTCCTTCACTGCAAGATATTTCCATAAAAATAAGCGTATTATACGATGTGTTATATATACATGAGAATAATGAAAACTATATAAGAACTGGTAAAAAAAAATCAAGATAACATTTTTTTTTTATATGAGGATCGCCCCCCCCCCCCAAAAAAAAAAAAAAAAACGGTAATTTTTTTTTTTCAATATTTTTGTTTCACTAATGATATTAGATTTAAAAAAAAAATAGCATGCATTAAAACACACACTTCAAAAATGATTCATAGAGATTTCAGCAAACTTCTCTATAAATAACATTTTTGACTTTGGTAAACGAATCAATCAACATAACTGCCGTAGCAACACTAACGACCTCAAAAAGTAATTCATGAAGTTTTTGATTTGACATTGTTTAGGAAACATACATTTTAAAATTTTGTTCAAAGCTTAAATCTAATTTGATACTGTAATTTTCTTTTTTTAGTTACCAAGATATTTATTTTAACCGTACTACAGTTAAAAATAAACCAAGGAATGAATTCTTTTAATAAAAAAAACTCCCATTCCAAATCATAAACTTAACTGCTCAAATACTTAACCGTGGTTTTCGTATGATGCCCAGCTTTTACAGTTTGTCGTCACTTTTGCTGCTCAACCAAATGTTTCTTTCATCGAATAGCAGTCCATGAAACTTTGAACCCCCATTTACCATGTACAAATAAACTTGTGATTGATACAAGAAATAAGTTAAGGCTAAATATCAGCATTTCTAAGCAAATGAGCTAATAAGAATGCATTAATTGTATGTTTGTCATTCTTAGTGCTCAAAGTAAATTAAAGCTAGGAAACATTATGTCGTGATATTATGACCTCAGTGTTTTTCCCTTTCAGTGTAATAAAACACATGAGCAAAACAACGTCAGTGCAACGGCAAACCTTTTTAATTTATAACTAATAATGCATAATGATAAGAATGTTCAAATGATTAATAAAATTGCTGTTCAAATCCTATGCACTTTTTCAATAGAAATGTGAATTTTTACCCTGTTTTAACTTAAATTTCTACAAATTTTAAGCTAGTTATTGCATTGTCGCCATTTGCGCAGCAATATTTTGAATCTGTCGAATATTCTGCGTCTATTTATACCTTGTTTCTGGTTAAAGTAAGGTTTGTCCTTGCACCAAAGCAATTTGGTTGATGTTGATTATCAACTTTTGTATTAGGGTCGATGCTTTCATAATGACATCATAATGTAAACTGGATATAAAACATCGTGGGTACCAAGAATGTTTTTGATTTTTTTCTGCGTGGTATTGTAGGTAAAGCCATTATAGTTTTTAATAAGATTTTTAGCATTCCATCGTTCACAGCTCCTTTTCCATATTTACATAAGACAAATCATCTTAAAACAACACTGCGTGATAAATTGTGTGACAGAGAAACAAGGATATGAAATATTAGTTCTTGTGGATATTGAATATTATAAGTCATTATTTTTTCTTGAATTGTCATAGGATTTTCACCTTCAAGTAATGCATTTAATTTGCTTTATTTTTAAGAGCTTTTGAGTTTTTTTTCTTCAGAAAAACAAAAGGGAAATCTTTAAAAAATTGACAAAATTTATTCAGAGCTAACAATCAAAGCCCTGTTTAATTTATGATAATAATATAGAGGAATTTTCAATGTCTACGTAGCTATTACGATTATATGTAAAAGCTAATACAATGCACAAATGAATCCCCCCCCCCCCAAAAAATGCACTTATCGGGAAATTACACCTTAGTTTCATAATTTTATGTTCCTGCTTTTAAACACTTCCTAATATAATGGATAATAAACCAGGAAGAGAGTTTAAAAACCGTTTACTGTTCCCAAACTACTTTATAATTTGATATAAAGAGAGTATTTAAAGAAGGGGGAAACAATCAAAACTGTATTATCCTAGCTAGCTAGCTGAGTGGTTGATTGTACCAGAACAAGATGGATACGGAAATAATTGTGCTCTTTAGGTGTGTAGATAATGTGATATATATTTCAGAAAGTAACTATTCAATGTTAATGATTTTTTCTCATACACGATAGGTTAGCTATCATGAATTAAAATAATATTTCTTAAAACTATACAGAAATTACAGTTAAATATGTCATGTCAGAAATTTGTGTTTCTTTAAAAATACATGTACAAAGAATTCAAAGGTTTCTTATATACACTCTTCCAAAAAAGAACGCATATTGTTTTACTCTCCAAGAAATTTTGTAAAAAAATACGTAACAACTATCTTTTTTATCATTGGATACATGTGACCCATTTAAAGGACAATATGGGCTTTTAACATCCAAGTCAAGTGTTGAATTATTTTCTTTCATTAATCATGTTTTACATGATTTCTAAGAAGAAGGGGTAAGAGTCTATTTTCATTTTTATTTTTGATATAGAGAAACAATACACTCCTATTAAACACATATTTAGGATTTGATTGCAATGTTGATGCTGCAATGCCACGCCTTAACAAAGGAGAACACAACCGGGCTGACGATGGTGATAACAGGAACTAAGCAACAGTTTGTCGCCACTGCATTTGGTGTACATGAATCGGCTTTGCATGCAGCGGTTAAACGACGTCTCCAACAATGATGACAATATCGATGGCGATGACAATAACATCAATTTAACTTTTCAATTTACAAACTAGGACCTGTTTGAGTTTTATCGTGACATACTCCAACATCACTTTAAAATATAAGGATTGAAGTTAAAACGTATATGTATCTTGTGAAATCTGAATAATTTAGGTGGGTTTTTTGTTGAGTACATTGTATACATGTAAGATCAGTGGACAATATCAGACAATGAGACTCTGCAATAAATGGAGCCTGTCCATTGGGACGCAAAGAAAATTGGACTGGTTTGAAATAAGATGGTAAAGACAATTAAGTAATTTAATGAATGATAACATCTTCTTTCTTGTCAAATATGACAAATATAGATATAATGTGAGTCCACCATGTATCGACAGCTTACATTGCTTTTGGGTACATTAAGAAATTTACTTGATCCATCCAGTGTGAGAATTTTGATATGATTTTAAGCTTAAAAGTTTAAAATCTAACCTTTTTATGACACGACTTTATATTATTACAGTGCAGGCAAAAATTCTGTTCTTACAAAAATCAGATTAAGCAAAACAAACATCAGCATCAAGCTAGCATCAGCACATAAGTAAAATTGTTCCATTAAAAATCAGCAATTATTTACAATTATTAGAAAATATTTTGAAAATTATTGAATTTTCTCTTCAAAAATATAAAACATAGAAAAAATACATTAGACAAAATAAGTAATGTTTCGGACAATGTTTTCTCCCACAATTGCTTCCTTTTCGTGCATGAAAATATGTTAAAAATACTCAAAATTCAAAATAATTTTTGCAAAGGCTAAAATATATACATATACTAACTATATCTAGTAAATA